AACTGGCATTCAAATCTGGTTGCTATATACTGTTTGACTCTGCCCACTCTTCCAGCTTTCCACTCAATGTGCAGATTTCCCCAACAACTGATAATTCCAGAAAGGCTTCCTCCTGTCCCGGACCTCTGGAGGCGGGTAGCAACCAATCCCAGCCACTGACAATCATTTGCCTAATTCATCAGATTTACACTGTTCCAGATCATATGCTGTATCCAGCTCACCATCTCCTCCCTGTGTTCCCAGTCATAACTCTGGGTAAAGTCCTTGTGCCAGGTATGGCTGGGTTCTCTCTTTTTCCCCAGTCATTCTAGGAGAGCTCAGCTAAACATCCTTCTGGTTCACCACCTTGCTCTACCCCTGATATCCCTAGTCTTAACATCATGCAGGAAAACTTCACCTTCAGTTACTCATGACAACTTAAATATTAATAAAATCACCCAAGTTCTGCAAGAGAAGAAAGGGTGAATTCAACAGGTTACTTTTGTTATCACCCACACCTTGCTCTTCCACAGAATCCAGACCCTAGAAGCGAAGGGAAAAATGGTAGATGGACCTTTAATTTTAGAAGAAATTTCCTGATGGAAAGATTGTCTTATGTTTTCAGAAATTAAATTATTTAATTTTTTGAACCAGTAATATATTCATCTGGTTCAAAAATGTAGCATGAAGTGAACAATATCTTGCCCCTGCCTTCTTGTCCCACCTGTATGTTGTCCCTCCCTCAGTATTCACTATTGTCCCCAAGTGTTTGTCACAGTTCCTTTGCACTTATGCAAAGAAATATAAATAGATTCATTCTTTTCTCCATATATCTTATACAAAAGCCACATACAGCATTAATTGTTCTTTTTATTTTTAGTTGAGCAAAAGAGTTTGAGAGACCTTACCATATCAGTACACAGAAAGCATCCTCATTCTTTTTTTTACAAATACAGAATTTAGTAGCTTCACTATAATTTAATCAGTCTCTTCTATGGGAACATGTAGGTTATTTCTAATATTTTGATGCTCCAAACAATACTATAATGAATAGGACTAGATAAATAAGCTTTAATTTACTGAAAGTTTAAAGCAACACATCACCATTACTTTCAACACAAGTAACCTAGGCATATCTAAATATAAACCCCATAAAACCCATTTTCATGAGCAAATGAGGCCAATTTATAATGAGAAATATTGCATTGAAGAATTAATGTTCTTAAATTCTCAATTCATTTTGTCCTATTAAGTGGATGTTTTGCTGCAAGTTTATTTATTCTTATAATTAAGTTAGTAGGCATTTTGCCCTAGAAAATGTCAGCTTAGAAAAAATCTTATCATAATGAATTCTAAATTAGTAGAGTTTGGAAATGAACATTTTTTTACTCAATTTTTCTAAATTATTGTTTTAAATATTTACATTCTATAGTACAATTTCAGAAGGTACAGAGAGCTCTGAAGTTCATATATGTTTGCAACATTGTGAGTTTCAATTAGGATATCCAGAGTAGTAATTTTTTTTTTAAAAGAAAGACTTAAAGTTACAGGGATTATTTTAAAAATCAGAGTTTTATGTACAACTACATTGCTTATATAACCCTTTGTAGCAAATTAGACTAAATATCAGGCTAGATTTGAGGTGAATTTTAAAAGAGTAAAAACACATGATATTATAAACATTTACTCTCCACATCAAATGTCTTCACTACCTATTTTAATTTTGAGCTAGATGCCTACCCCTGTTTGGGTCTACCAATAAACAACCCTCTTGAGAAGCCCTAGGGATATAAATTGGTAGAAAGGGCAATGCTTCCCTTCAAGAAACTGAAAGCTGCTTGAGAGGACAAAATATATGCACAAAAAGAACAGCAATATCCAGGTTTTAACAGCTAAAAATTAAACAGCATTCATCATATACCAGACACAGTTCTGAGAACTTTACAAATGTCATGAATAACTTACAATAACACCATGAGATTAGTGTAGTTATTGTCATCCCATTTTATAGATGAGGGAATCGAAGCCCAAGGTTGTACATTGTATCCAGGGCCATATACTGCTGGTATGAAGCAATTCAGTGGAGGACACAGGATTCCAACATAGACTGTTGGGCTATGGAGGTTGTGTGGGTAATAGGCTACCATACTGCCTCTTGTATGTGGTGGCACTTACAGTAAAGCCAAAGGAACCCAGCAGAGCAATGACCACAATAAAGGCAGTGAGGGAAAGTTGGAGGGGAAATGAGTCTAAAATAGGCTTTTTAAGAAAGAAAGCTTTATAGCTCCTTTTTTGTTGATTAATTTGAGTTCAAGCCTTTGTCCAATTTGTGATATGTAGGTACTTTTCCCACTCTGAAGGTTGTCTATTCCCTGTGGTTGTTGTCTCCTTAACTGTTGTACTGTACTCTCTGCAGCTTTTCAGTTTAATAAGTCCCATTTGTTTATTTTTGTTGTTGCCGTGGAAGTCTTGTTTATAAAATCTTTCCCTAGGCTGATATCTTCAAGTGTTTTCCCCACACTTTCTTCTAGGTTTTTTATTGTTTCATGCCTTAGATTTAAATATTTTATCCATCTTGAATCAATTTTTGTAAGTGGTGAAAGGTGCAGGTCCAGTTTCAGTCCTTTTACAGGTGGTCATCCAGTTCTCCCAGCACCATTTATTGAATAGGGATTATTTTCCCCAGTGTGTGCTCTTGTTTGGTTTATCAAAGGTCAGGCGGCTGTAAGATGTTAGTTTTATCTCATGGTTTTCTATTCAGTTCCAAATGTCAATTTTTTTGTCAGTATCATGCTGGTTTGATCACTATGGCCTTGTAATATAGCCTGAAGTCTGGTAAGGCTTTGTTTTTATTACTAAGAATTACCATGGCTATTTGAGTTTTTTTTTTTTTTTTTGGTTCCATATGAAACGAAGAATTATTTTTTCTAGATTGTGAAAGTATGATGTTGGCATTTTAACGGGGATTACATGTGTAGATTGCTTTGGGAAGTATAAACATTTAACATTATAAAAATAAGTATAACATTTAATGTTGATTCTTCCCAGCCCTAAGCATGGTATGTTCTTCCATTTGTTAATATTTTCTGCTATTTCTTTTCTTAGGGTTTCATAATTTTCTTTGTAGAGGTCCTTCACCTCTTTTGTTAGGTTTATATTCCTAGGTATTTCTGGGTTTTTTTTTTTCTGAAGCCACTATGAAGGGAATTGTGTCCTTTATTAGCTTCTCAGCTTGGCCGTTGTTGGCATATCCCATATATCACTGGGCAAGGGACATGAATAGAACCTTCTCTAAGGAAGACAGACAAATGGGTAACAAACATGAAAAAATGCTCATTATCCCTAGTCATCAGAGAGATGCAGATCAAAGCCATTGTGAGATACTACCTATCACCAGTAAGACCAGCCCACATCGCAAAGTCCCAAAGCTGTAGATGCTATCGTGGATGTGGAGAGAAGGGTACACTTTTAAACAGTTGGCGGGACTGCAAATTAATACAGCCTCTTTGTAAAGAAGTATAAAGAATCCTCAAAGATCTCGAATTAGATCTCCCATTTGACACTATGTTCCCACTACTAGGCATATACCCAGAATTAAAAAAAGTCATTTTATCATAAGGACATTTGCACTAGAGTGTTTATTGCAGCTCAATTTACAATTGCCAAGACATGGAAACAACCTAAATGCCCATCAACTCAGGAGTGGATTAACAAATTGTGGTATATGCACACCATGGAATACTATTCAGGTATTTTAAAAAATGGGAACTTCACATCTTTTGTAATATCCTGGATGGAGTTGAAACACCATTCTTCTGAGTAAAATATCATAAGAATGGAAAAGCAATTCTCCAATGTACTCCATACTAGTATGAAGCCAGTAGACAATCTGATCCATTCCACATAGGAAAAAAACTCATTTCAAGTTGCGGGGAGGGGTAATGAGGGATGAGGAGGAGGTTGGGGTGCTCTCACGGAAGGGGCAGGGGCTGGAGGTGTTTGACACTCCTTTTATGTGTGGAGTATAACCACAAGAGGGACTCTACATAACAAAATCAATTATTTTGGTTTGGTTGTTTGTACCTTCATGTAAACCTGAAATTAATTTAGTTTTAGTACCTTCAGGCTGTTTAGTTTAGTTTAGTTTTAGTTTAGTTTTTGTACCTTCATGTAAACCTGAAATTAATTTAGTTTTCAAAAAAAGAACAGAGAGGGAGGCAGGGAGGGAGGGAAGGAGGAAGGAAGAGAGGGAGGGAGGGGAAGGAAGCGAAGAGAAAAGAAAGAGGAAGGGAAGGGAAGGGAGAGAGAAGGGAAGGAAAGAAAGAAAGAAAGGATTTGATAAATACAAAGAAATACCTTCCAAACTTTCCCACCTCTACTGTGTGCACCTCAGGAGAACAGTCTTTCATTTTTGTTAAACTTTTAACACTGGAACTATCCTAAAATGGCAGAGCATTAGAAGAACAAAAATACTGGGCAAGGATCTGAATGGTTTGAGGGTGATACTAGGAGACTTATTTAGTTAAAGTGGTCTAACACATAGAGCAGTAGCCTGGGATTGTGTCAGGAAGGTGGCCTAGGGCCAGACCACATCAGGCTCTGTGCTCTGCAGCCATGCTTCTCACACCCAGCATTCACAGAGAGCACCTGGTTCTGGTCAAATGCACACACAGACTCAGGAGGTCTGAGCTGGGCTGAGAGGCTATGTTTACACTGAGCTTTGGGTGATGCTGATGTTGCTGGTCCTCACATCATACTTTGAGTAGCAAAACTCCAGTAGACAACAACAGAAAACCATTTCTGGGCTGGGCTTGGGAGTGAGAGGTAGAGGAGGGATAGAAAGTTGCCTAAGGCATGTCCTCCATATTGCAGCCAGTGATTTTAAAGACATACAGATCCACAACATGGTATTTAATCTACTTACAGAACCCTTTTTTCTATGCCTCACCCTCCCTTTCAGACTGCAAGATGTCTTTCCTGAAGAAATATTTTAAGCCATACTTTTGCTTTCTTTTATACAGAGCAAGGCTAAAGAGCTGCCTCTTTCTGCTGTACGCTTTATGGAAGAACTGGGTGAATGTGCCTTTGGAAAAATCTATAAAGGCCATCTCTATCTCCCAGGAATGGACCATGCTCAGCTGGTTGCCATCAAGACCTTGAAAGACTATAACAACCCCCAGCAATGGACAGAATTTCAACAAGAAGCCTCCCTCATGGCTGAACTGCACCACCCCAATATTGTGTGCCTTCTCGGTGCTGTCACTCAGGAACAGCCTGTGTGCATACTGTTTGAGTACACAGATCGGGGGGACCTCCATGAGTTCCTGATCATGCGATCCCCACATTCTGATGTTGGCTGTAGCAGTGACGAAGATGGGACTGTGAAATCTAGCCTGGATCATGGAGACTTTTTGCACATTGCAATTCAGATTGCAGCTGGCATGGAATACCTATCTAGTCACTTCTTTGTGCACAAGGACCTTGCTGCTCGCAATATTTTAATCGGCGAGCAACTGCATGTAAAGATTTCAGACCTTGGGCTATCCAGAGAAATCTACTCTGCTGATTATTACAGGGTGCAGAGTAAGTCTTTGCTGCCCATTCGCTGGATGCCTCCTGAAGCCATCCTGTATGGCAAATTCTCTTCTGATTCAGATATCTGGTCCTTTGGGGTTGTCTTGTGGGAGATTTTCAGTTTTGGACTCCAGCCGTATTATGGATTTAGTAACCAGGAAGTGATTGAGATGGTGAGAAAGCGACAGCTTTTACCATGCTCTGAAGACTGCCCACCCAGAATGTACAGCCTCATGACAGAGTGCTGGAATGAGATTCCTTCCAGAAGACCAAGATTTAAAGATATTCATGTCCGCCTTCGGTCCTGGGAGGGACTCTCAAGTCATACCAGCTCTACTACTCCTTCAGGGGGAAATGCTACTACACAGACAACCTCCCTCAGTGCCAGCCCAGTGAGCAACCTCAGTAACCCCAGATATCCCAACTACATGTTCCCAAGCCAGGGCATTACCCCACAGGGTCAGATTGCTGGTTTCATTGGGCCACCAATACCTCAGAACCAGCGGTTCATTCCCATAAATGGATACCCAATACCTCCCGGATATGCAGCATTTCCAGCTGCCCACTACCAGCCAGCAGGTCCTCCCAGAGTGATTCAGCACTGCCCGCCTCCCAAGAGTCGGTCCCCAAGCAGCGCCAGTGGGTCGACTAGCACTGGCCATGTGACCAGCTTGCCCTCATCAGGATCCAACCAGGAAGCAAATATTCCTTTACTGCCACACATGTCTATTCCAAATCATCCTAGTGGAATGGGTATCACTGTTTTTAGCAACAAATCTCAAAAACCCTACAAGATAGACTCAAAGCAACCCTCTTTACTCGGAGACTCCAATATTCATGGACACACAGAATCTATGATTTCTGCAGAACTGTAAAATGCATGACTTCATAAATGTGATATGCAGGAAAAACTAGAAAACCATAGGAAAGATTTATTTTCAAATGTTTCTATTAAATAAGGTTCTCATTTAGCAGACATTGCAACAAGTATCTTCTGTGAAGTATAACAGTGTCTTACCAAGGAGGACAGACACTAGCCAGAAAAGAAACAAAATCACTGTGGGATTTACACTCCATTGGGGCACAAGACCTGGCACTGGGATTGGAACAATAATGCTTAAAGTACTGAAAACTGCAAACCAGTAAAGAGGAAAAGAACCTTGTGATGAGATATCAAACCAAGACAAAGTCAAGTGGTGCTTTGTGACTGGTCTCTCCCCATGATATATACATACTATAGCATTTGTCTACCTGCTGTCTTTTCTTCAGGACAGATGTTCAGGAATTACATTGATTCAGTTTAGACTCTGTGCGTGTTCATATGGAAGTGATGTTCAGAATCAATGAGGAAATGTTAGGTCAAATTTGAAATTCTGGATGGAAATGAGCCATAAGACAAAATATACCCTGCCTTGAAGCCTTCTCCATAGGGGGGCTTCCTTGGGAAGGTGCAGAATGTGCCTATTTGTGAACCTCCTCTTCTGGTCATGAAGGCCTTTTCCACATTTCCTTTTTCATAGTGTGTTTCCACAGCCCTTGGACAGGGCAATGGACCATAAGAAGGCTACATGTGGATGCTGGAAATGATCATTGGGTGGCAGTTTACTTTGTCACATTAGGAATGAGGTACCAAAAGAAGCCCAGTCAGGAGAATGGCCCCTCAGCCTAGATCAGTATCCATGGGAGAGGAAAAGGGTTCCAATGAGGACAGCCTCTGGGAGCGTCCCAGGATCGATACCATTGAAAAATACATGTATGGCTGTAGATGAGCACGCCTTACAACCCTTGTTGACAGGTGGTCCAAGGCACAGGGTGTTTACCTTCAGACTCTGGAAGTCTGGAGGACATAGGAAACCCTATGATGATACCAATATCTAGTAAATTTAAAGCTTCTCTCACTTTTTTCTCCATGCTAGAAATGTTCATGGAGTTAACAGTTTATTCAGAGAGTTAGACGGAATCCAAAGACAATTCTATTTTGTAAAATATTACATATTTCTATAAAAGTACTGGGTTCTCATTTCAAAGACTATAAAGACCTTAATTTTCAAAGCTGGAAAAATAGAAGCAACACGACCATTTCTGCCTTAGTTGGAGGGAGGCATCAAATGTGCATCTCCTGCATTACCTGCCAATGAGGTTTTGCCAAGTTTAAAATTCTTATGGACCTCAAATTCCATATGGAAAGGAATTTTGTATTCAATTTTTCTGTTTTTTTTTTAAACCTCCTTTATTCTAAGAACAATGTTTCAAAGTATCATTTTCATTTTAAAGGTATGAGAACATTATAAAAAAACTTATAGGTTCTAAATTAATTCCTAGAATTAATGTGGAGAATATGATGTTTCTATTTTTTAAAATGCATTTAGCAGGGCCAGGCGCAGTGGCTCATGCCTGTAATCCCAGCACTCTGGGAGGTCAAAGCGGGTGGATCGCCTAAGCTCACGAGTTTGAGACCAGCCTGAGGTGGAGCGAGACTCCTCTTTAAAAAATAGCTGGACATTGTTGTGGGTGCCTATAGTCCCAGCTATGCAGGAGGCTGAAGCAAGAGAATTGCTGAGCCCAAGAATCTGAGGTTGCTGTGAGCTGTGACGCCATGGCACTCTACTTAGGGTGACAAAGTGAGACTCTGTTTCAAAAAAAAAAAAATGCAATTAGCACGAGAATTAAGAAAATACATTTACCTGAGTGTGTTGCAATTTTCCCAAACCTGAGTATCCAAACAACAAACATGAATTTCTAGATCTGTGACATCAAAGAATTGAATATATCTAGATTTCTGGACAATAAAGTAAGACATTTGGGGGCATAAATAAGCTGATTCAGAAATTACCTTTCTTAACTTTAGATAGAGGAGAATATATGTATCCTTTGTTGCTATGCAACTGTTTAATGATGAAGCTTCAAACCACAGTTATGTATATCATATGACAATCAGTTGTTTTCCAAGAATATTTATTATTTTACGTAAACACAATTTCAGTGAATCTGAGTTTTTCCTAGGAGTCCCTTAAAGGGAAATTAGCATTCCATGAGCCAGTAAAATACCTACTCTGGAAAAAAACATTATTACAGATAAAAGATAAATTCAAGTTAGTTTTTTATAAATAACTAACATTTTATAATAACTGAATTCATTAAGTTGAGCAAATGAAATTTCAAAACCACTTGTAATAATGTATTTTATAATAGCACTGTGATACTATATAACACAGTCCCTTTTGTATTAAAGTAGTATTTTTTTCACAAATTGAAAAGTATCTTTTGCTTCATTGAGAATGTTTTTATAAGATGACTATTTTCAAATCTCTTTTTTTCCTCACAAAACCATGTTTATGGTTTGTATCACAGAAGTGAAAATATATCTCTGCATTTTTATATCTGGTCTGTTTTCTTGTTTCCTTTATTTTTAACTTGATATAAACTTTCTTCAAGTATATAATGGCAATATTCAGACCCCACACCCTATCATATCCTTTTTCTATTTTCACTGCATGCATTTAATCATTGTATTACTTAATGTTTTATTTGTTATTCTGGCCATTTCAAATAGATGAATATTGAATTGTAATGACAAAAAAAGGCTATTCTATGTTGAGAATATATACATTTGTATTTTACACACCAGAGATGATATTAAACACTGATTATTTTATGCTGCTGTTTATTAAAAATGTTTACTATAAAATATAATTTCCTGAATATTGCTGGAGGTATTTGGGAATTTTAATATTATTTCTTCTAATTATTTACATTTCACAGAAAGAGGAATCTTGATTCCTATTTCCTGTTATTTTTCATTGAAATGATCTTTTTAAGTAGACTTTTAAAATGGAGTTGGACATTCTTTTGCTAGTGACCACAAATGGAAGAGTGATCCCATTGGTAGTTTATAACCAAATACTATCCACCTATATCACAAGCTTTGAAGTTTTAAAATAAAAATAATATATTGAATAATTACTTTATAACCAATGGGAATGTAAACATTGGTTTTAAGAGTTGCATCCTTTTCTGCCTTGATGTTTCCATCTAAACTTACAGATCAATTATCATGTCTTTGGAATCTAAAAAACAAAAGGCAACATACATCTTACCATGTCCAACTTAGATTCCAACCATATTGACAAAATAAATGTGGCCATTTAATCGTCACAGCTTATCTTTATGACCTTACTTGCCCAAAAGAAAGAGTTCCCCATCTTGCAATTAATACACACTGTCAAGGAAAATGAGGATCATTGTGAAAGTGCAAAGGACTTTTCTATTTCTACCCTTGAATAAAGAAGGGAAGCCTTCACCACCTCAACGATCGAACTCAATAAAGCAGTGCCTTCCCATAGCACTGAGAGCCGTGTCAGGTTGGATTTCTCCTTCTCACTTGAATTCCTCAATCTGCCCTCTACTGTCATTTCCTTCGTACATCTCCTACACTCCTGTCCAATCCCTTCAACTCTGAGATTCCCTTAATTCCCTAATCACCAACATCTGCAGACCCCCAATATCGCCTTGCCATAATACCTGCTACAAGGCACAAAATCCAAACAAAGAGCAGCTGTGTCACCCACCTTCAAGGAAGGTTACTTAGCCTAACAGTTCTCAAAGTATTGTTTCCAGAGTAAGAAACAGTAGTGCCCTGGAACTTGTAAGAAATGAAAGTTATAGAGCTCCATTTGGAAGTACTAAGTCAGAAATTTCAGGGATGAAACCCAGAAATGAGTGTTTGAAGAAGCCCTCCAGGTGATTCTGACATGCTTTAAATATGAAGAACCACAGAACCAACCTAATTTATGGGGGGGGGGGGTAAGTGACCATTACATTTTTGGTGATACATGTATAAGTATTTAATAACATTTTGGTCACTTTATTCCCTTTAAAGTCAAGTTTTACTTTAAAAAAAACCCACCTTTTGTGTTGGTCATTTGACTTTCTTTTTTTTTTTTTTTTTGTAGTTTTTCTCTTGGATAGAAAACTGACAGTACACAGGCTTGGTCAAGAATCTATTCCTCATGTAATCCACCCTAGACTCAAATTCTTGGGCAGTGGCCAAAAGCTTTTTCCTTCACGTGGACAAGCTCAGAGAAGTTGTTCTCTTAACTTATTACACCTTTTTTGAATCTTGAATTATTGATTAACAAAACTAAAAGAACTTCCCTCGTTGTGGCAACTTAAAGCTAAGGTCAAGGCCAGGCTGGTCCTGTTGAGGAGGGAAAAGCCCAGACTGTTCTAAGCATCAGATAGGAAGCAGCTGTGGAGGCTCCTCCCCTGCATCTCCTGTGATTCTCTGACCCTGTGGCTCCTGGCTGGTTCAGCTGTTTTCCTTTGCCAGGGGCGGCAGCCTACCAAGCCTTGGATGGCTGTGAGCACTCCTCTGCTGGAATATTCATTACAAAATATTTACAAGAGGTGGCTAACACATAGAGAATATTTTGCAATGAATATTTAGTACATAAAGGTACAGTTAGCTACAATTTCTCATTTGCCCTATGAATGGCAACTTTAGGGGGACCTTTGGGACACCCTGTAGATTTATCCCAGCAGTAAGGGGATAAGAGTAGAGAAGAGAAGAGAAGAGAAGCAGCAAGAAAGGGGCTTTGCAACCATCACCTGACTGCACCCGAGTGAAATGGCAAGAACACCGTTAACCCAGGGAAAGGAGAGCCTTGCAAATCATCAGAGCACTCAAGGTCAGTGTAATCTCTTGGGAAATTAGTCTGGGAAGGTTTAAAAATACAGACATACAAGGTTTGCTGACATATTTATAACTCATTGAATCTTAAATACCCATGAATTGCTTATTCACAAGTGAGTACCATAATATTTGCTGACTGAACCTGGCAAGATGCATATTTTGACCGAAGTGACTATGTTAGTAAATACAGTTAGGAGTTGCTTTAACAACAGGAATACCTTCTGAAAAATGCCTCATTAGGGAATTTCACCTGTGTGCACACAGGTTATGTGCTTACAGAGACCTGGATGGTATAGGCTACTATACACCTAGCCTCTAGCTATTGCCTACTTCTCCTATGTTACAGACC